CAACTGGTTCTCGGTGTGGATGCCGCCTCCGGAAGTCCATTCTGGGCCTGGGAAACAAAAAATTAGCTACCGGTTCTGCTGAAGTGGTGTGAACCGGCTGAATCCCACCACTAGTTATGGGCTTGGCAGAGCAATAGACTGCATTCTCAATTAGCACAGTGAGAACACCAGGCAGATAAATCTTTGCATTGAGGCTCCCTGGGAATAATCTATACATTATTTATAAAGGATTCCCCTAGGAATCTTGTGAATCTCTTTAAGCAGCCACAGCTACAGGCTTGCTCCTGGTGTTTTGCTAAGGACATCATCATTCACCTGAGGAACCGTATTGTCAGTAACAATATAGTGTCCTGTCTCCTCTGCTCTATGGCTTTCTCTAGCTCTACTCGTTTCCCCATCCTAAAAGATGGAACTCAACTACCAGATACTGTCTGGGCAGGAAGAAAACAATCCATGTGTGGATCAAACTTCAGTGGGTTAAATATTTATTTATTACTTTAAATTTATCTATCAAATTTGTACGCTGCCCATCTCACTATCTAAAGTGAATATGGGTTGCTTATAGTGTCATAAAAACTTAAATATAAAAGTATTAAAATTAGCAACAATTAAATAAAGACTAGAAATGGTACGGGGTTGGGCTTTTGTCTTCTCAATGACCTCTAGTATAGCATGCCTTCATCGGACCACAGTCAATTAGCAGAGAAGATTTAAGGCCCCTCCAGAAGGTCGTAAGGATGGAGAAAGATCTCACCTTTTGTGGCAAGATGCTCCAGAGGGCATCAGAGGAGCTGTGGTGGTGCAGTGATTAGAATGCAGTATTACACTGACTTTGCCCACTGCCAGGAGTTCGATCCTGACCCGCTCAAAGTTGACTTAGCCTTCCATCCTGTTGAGGTCAGTGAAATGAGGACCCAGATTGTTGGGGGCAATATGCTGACTCTGTAAATCACTTAGAGAGTGCTATAAAAAGAACTATGAAGTGGTATATAAGCCTAAATGCTATTGCTAGTGCTATTCCAAATATATAATACAATTTTTTAAAAATTAGATTTAATATTAAACTCAGAGACAGACACGAGACAGACACATATATGCAATATTTTCATGTAGTATCAATATATAAAACTGTCTTAGTAGTCAGTATATTAAGCTGTTATCATTGAGACTTTTATTAAATTATTAAACTTATTGTGTAAGACTGCCCACACCATGTGTTCTCTAGTTCCTTAGAAGTTCTGCATGAAACAATACCAGAGGCGATTTCCTGGATGGCTGAATTGGTTATCAGGCCATTGCTGTATCCCCACAGAAGTTTTGTATATACTTATGTGGATTGTGTGTATATATTTACTTCTCTTTTTCATGTTCTCATCATATGCTAAATAAGTCATAATAGAGAATTTTTAAATTATGTTGTCTTTCTGTGTTTAGCTGTTCACATACTTTCATATCTATGCACAGCCTTGAGTTGAGTTCAACAATTCCAAGGGGAACACAGATTATACGTATTGGATGTATAATATATTGTGGGTTTGGAATTAAAGGCTCCCCAAATCATGGAGCTAAACTATAACTGTTAACACCCAACAACGATTCATTTTTGTCCTTTTATGGTGCAGTAGCTTTATGGCTTAGATAAAGAGAATATTTCAAGTTGTATTAACTTGAAGTTTCCCTGACAGTTCCTGGAACATAAAGAGATAAAGTTATCAAGACTTTCATCAGATGTCTAATGTAGGAACATGAGATTGGCTGTCAGAACAATTTAAAGAAAATTAAACTTTATTTTTTCTCCATACTCCACTGAGAGCTTTTGAGTCTTTGTTAGGCATACTAAGCTTTTAAATGAAGTCATGTCACTGTACAATATGCCTTTGTGTTTTATTACCTGATCTGGTTGCTGGTGAGGAGCAGTTTCTTCCAATATTGTCCATCAAAGGAGGGATTAGGACTAGTCATTACAGAAGACACACTGTTGACATGATGATTCCATAATTTATTGTACCAGATTGAAATATATTCTCTATTTTTTTTCATGGCCTTCTTATGATATCACTGATTTTCCTGCCACTAGAAGTCAGGGATGTGGAACAGAAATATAGAAAAACATTCAAAATAGGTTGAAAAAGTAAAGCTACCATCAAAGATGCAAAATCCAAAGGCATCTCTTCCATAAACACATATCCACGGATATATAATCTTGAATTTCAGATTGATTATTACTGCCTTGCCTTTCCAGTCCAAACAGGGGTGATGCTGAATACGTAAAATATTGGTTAAAGTTACTGATATTCTTCTGATGATTCCATGATTTACATCAAGTTGTATTATTGGTAATATTTTGCTGAGAAAAAAGGACAAAACTCTATCTGTTGTTGCTCCTCTTTCAATGTCTAATAAGGCTATTTGTTTTTCTTAGCCTAAGAAAGAGAAAGGGACAGAGAAAGGAAGGAAGGAAGGAAGGAAGGAAGGAAGGAAGGAAGGAAGGAAGGAAGGAAGGAAGGAAGGAAGGAAGGAAGGAAGGAAGGTTCAATTAGTATTTAAAACAAATCATTATCAGATGTTAGGAACATGAACTTGAAAGTTGTTGTTGTGTTGTTTTGATAAAGATAAACAGGCAGGTTATTTTCCTTGTAAGTCTTTCCCAATTAATCAGTCCTGCATGTTTGTTGGATGAGACCAAAAAACAAAACTATTGGCGGGAAAGGAACTATGAGAGGGATAATTGTCTCTGAGACTAAAGATGAAATAATGTTCCCGTAAAGTATCATTTTGGCTTAATGATGTGAGTATAATTATTTCTGATGTTCAGGCTATGAGTGATATTGATTAGGGAGATGAAATAGTATCCACGTTTTACAGAACTTCAAAAAGAGCTCTGGAAAGAATGTATTAAGGGGAGGAAAGTCATCTAAAATTAGCTAAAATATGGGTAATGAGTAGATCTGGAATGCAGACCTCCAACTGGAAAGCAGAAATGAACCAGAGAATAATTGATGTACAGCTACTTTCATCATCAGCTCTAAGTTCTTATTCCAGATCCTTTTTATTGGCCTTTCAGTAGCCTTTGCTTTTAGGTGATCTTAGTAATAAATGTTACTGGAAACACTGCTTTAAGTACAAAAGGGATGCTTCCATTAGGCAAGGTAATGTTCAACACTCAAAGCAACCCTAGCAGATCAAGAAAACAGGACAGAGAAAAGTTCTGGCCTGACTTTTTTGCTAACCAAAAGTTAAAGGTTTCCCCTATCCAGTCTTATCCGTCTCTAGGGAACGGTGCTTTATCTTTGTTTCTTAGTCAAGGGAGCCAACATTGCCCAAAGACATTTCTGTGTTCATGTGACTATATGCTGAGGCACATGAAACACTATTACTTTACCACCAAAGTGGTACCTATTTATCTACTTGCACTTGCATGCTTTTGAACTGCTAGGTGAGCAGGAAGTGTGACAAATAACGGGAGCTCACCCCATCATATAGAACTTGGGTCTCGAATGCAGGTTATCAGATTTCCAGCTGACAAGCTCAGCATTTTTAACCACTGTGTCATCATGTCCCCTACAACCAAGAATATATGTAGAGTGGTTAAATTTTAGCTATCATCACTACAATTCTTCCTTTCCTAGTCTGCTTTTGTGGATATCAATTCTTCCTATGTTTCTGTTAAGCTTGCTCTGGGACATATTTGCTGTATTTCTCCCTCCACACACACAAAATAACTCTTAAACTATTTTAGCTTCCCAGATCCATTTTTGTCTGTTGGAACACCACAAGATTTGTTACAAGGATTTAGAAGTAAAACTACAATGTTTTGCATGTTTCGGTCAACTTAATACAAACTGGGGCATTAATGGTGAATTCAATTACCTCATCTTAAGCTCCCCTCAGTTCTAAATAGCCATTCTGATAAAATCATAAATCATAAATCATCCTGTTCTTGCAGGATAAAGTAGCTGAAAGAAACTTTAAAGTGCAACCACTATTCAGATTATCCAACCCTATTTTAAAACTAAAAAGGATTCCATTTATGTTCAGAGTACAATTGGCTCATGTAGCTTGAAATTTAAATTTTGATTCTTATGGATAGTATTGTATTTCTTACAAAAATTCTTATTTAGATATACCAGCACAAGAATTTATTCAATATTATATTTATGATGTTTGATTAGGTCTCTGCTATTGATATTACTCATTTGTAAGTTTTAAAATATTTAAAATGTGTATGATGCTCCAAACCCTGATAATTCTAGGAAGCTTATAAAATGTAGTGAAGCAATTATAATTATAAAAATAGCATTAAAAAAGAAATCATCAGTCATTATATCAAATGATTAAAATACTAATGCCCTGGATAAAAGGACATATTTTGAGTCCCTCAAACCCATGTAATAAGGTGAAATTGCTTCAGTTTGATTAGTAATATGTTTTTACAGATAAAGTGCTACTGAAAGAATTTATGCCAAAATGATAGAACTGATAGAACTGCTCCATTCAGTAATTTAAAACTGTTTACACTTATATATCTACTTAAGTGATCTATATTCCTTTTGTTAAACAAGGTTTTACTGTAATATGTGCATTTTATCCATTTCATGTTCTTTCATACTGTTTACATTTTCAGAATATTGCATAGTTTTGATAACTTTCAAGTAATTGTCAGAGTCGCTGTGAGTGAGTAGGCAGCTATATAAATTTTCTAAAACAAATAAACAAAATATTAAATCCCTGAATTATGTGGTAAAAGGAAAAAATCACTAAATAAAAGAATACTTTCCCATTCTATTTTTCCTTAGATGTTGATTAATAAAGATGTCTTTTATTATAACGTACTCCAGGTGATTAAAGTGTATTAAGAAAATAAAATAATAAAAAATGGAGAAAATTCTTGTCAGTTTTGGAAATTCAGGTGATAACTTTGGGTAGACAAAGTTGTATATGGTTTCTTAAAGACTTTGCAGATGGATCCAAAATAAAATGTTTTCTTTTGCTCTTAGCAGAAAGGAAAATTGTGACTTTGAATATTCAAACTCAGCCAACATATAAAGCAATATCCAGTGTTGTTGGTTATTTAAAAGGAGCCACAGTTCCTGGTAGGTCTATTTTTATTTCTCTATCTGCTAACCTCTGCAAGTCACTTGTCATATTACTGAACAAGAACAGAATTTCATAACTTATTCTGGGCAGTGTATTGCACTTAACCTTCAAACTATACACAACAGCATGTTATTTTTAGAGTTTGTTCTATATAGTTACCCAGACTGAGCATTTACACCTGTCTGAAAAATAATTATGGGAGTGAAATCCACACATTAAAGATACTAAGGCTGAAAAACAACCTGATGTAGACATCTTCTTAGCACATTCCACATGATGTACTTTAGTTTACTGTTATTTAGTTTAACCATTCATATCTGAGTAAGATCTCTGGTAGGAGTCATATTTGCCAGAGAAGATACCTTATACTACAGACCTTTAGCAAATAGAAAGCAGTAGACTATGATCACCAGTTATTTCAACTCGCTTTAAATATAGTGAGCTATTTGAGTTACTTCCAGAAATATATGTCTATGGAGATTCTTAGTCATCCAGGTCATGGCTGTCCCAAAGGTGCTTTTTTCAAGAAGCAACTGGACTACTGTTTTTCTTTAAAGACTTTTCACTTCTTATCCAAGAAGCTTCTCCAACTCTGACTGGATGGTGGGGAATGGAAGGATTTATACTCCTTGCAGACAGCAAAAGAATGCAAATAACCAGCTGTCTGCAAGAGGTATAAATCCTTCCATTCCCCACCATCCAGTCAGAGCTGAAGAAGCTTCTTAGATGAAAAGTGAAATGTCTTCAAAAAAAAAAAAAAAACAAGAAAGTCCAGTTGCCTCCTGAAAAAGCACCTTTGGGATTCCAAAAATATAGTAATTACTGAAAACCAAGCAAAACAAATCTAACCCCTTAAGACAGTTTACATACATTTTAGTTGTTTGCAATAACTATTCAGTCTTATGTCTTTCCAGATAGGTTAATTGGATGATTCATTATAAAGCATTCTGCATTATAAATTATGTTGTAAGCTTGGGATTACAAGCAAATAAAGTTGAGGTCTTTCAGATAAAAGTGACTCTTGAACCCAGCTGACTATTGTGGCAAACTATAGCTGTTACATAGGTGACAAGAATGGGAAAGGTAACGATACAATCTGTGTTTGGAAGGACTTTGGATTGCATTGCTTCATTAATAAAAGTATTGGCTTGCTTTATGTTTTTCAGATAGATATGTCATAGTTGGCAGCCACCACAGCAGTTTGCCTGGCTACAGTAATGAGCAGTGGGCTCACGGCACAGCAGTAATGACTGCACTTATCCAAGCCTTGATGAGGAAGGTGAAGAAAGGTTGGAGGCCTGAGCGGACCATCATTTTCTGTTCATGGGGAGGAACCATGTTTGGCAAGATTGGTTCCTACGAATGGGCAGAGGTAAAGAATCTTTACAGGTTTCTTTCTTCATACAATAGCAATAGCAATTGCACTTAGACTTATATACCGCTTCACAGTGCTTTACAGACCTGTTTACAGAGTCAGCCTATTGGCTCCAACAATCTGGATCCTCATTTTATCGATCTCAGAAGGATGGAAGGCTGAGTCAACCTTGAGCTGGTGAGACTCGAACTGCCGAACTGCTGGCAGCCAGCAGTCAGCAGAAATCACCTGCAGTAATGCATTCTAACCACTGATCTAGAGTTGCCAATATCAAGGATAAGAATTATTATTTGATATGTCCTATGGATCTTCCTGGTCTCCTGTTGCTAAATATTATCCTCTGAATGTGTTCTTTTCTAACTTCTCAGACATGTTTTCTAAACATGCAGTTGAGTGAAAACTAAGTCTAAGCTGCATCTCCTGTTTGCTTTATGTGTTCAGTGATTGTACCCAGAAGGATGAATGAGTAAGCAGTGGTATCTGTGAAGAAAAAAGAGAGGGCCATGATATCTGAATATTCCCCAGATGTATAGCTGTTATCAATTGCCTTTATGATTATCATCTAAATCAGCGGTTCTCAACCTGTGGGTCGGGACCCCATTTGGGGTCGAACGACCATTTCACAGGGGCCGCCAAACAATGCAGTCCGCCATTTTTTTCCCCTTTTCCTTAGCTGTGCTACTCCCTTTTATTCTATTGGCTTTTGAAAGCCAATAGAATAGACTCTCTTGAATAGAGTCTAATTCTATTGGCTTTCAAAAGCCAATAGGAATTGTCCAGGCTGTCTCTGCCCTGCTGAGCCCGCCAAAAGTCCCATTCTGCAAACGGTGCTGCAAGTTGTCTGCAGCGAAGGTGAGCTGTCTGGAAGCTTCCACCCCTCCCTGCTGAGCAACTACTAAAAATGTAAGTAAAAGAGGGCCAAGGGTGGGAGGTGGGAGGCCGGCGGGTGCAGGGAGGGTTGCTGGCGCACGTGGGGCCTGGTGGCTGCCTTATCTCCCTTGGGCAGGGCCAGCTGGTGGCCCAGCCGGTGGTCGGCCTGCGCCGTCTCTGCCGCTTGCCAGCTACGTCTCGGCTGGCACAGGGGGCGGCACCACGCATGCACGGCGCTCCCAGGAAGGGAAAGTCCTTGACTTATGACCGGTTGGGGGTCGTGGCATTAAAAAGGTTGAGAACCACTGATCTAAATCAATATCATTATTTAATTAATTGAAGGATGATTCCAATGATTCTTATTTGAGCCAAGAACTGAAGAGTCATATTGGTATCTAAAAAGATCATGGCAGCTTTTTGCCTGGATTATTGAGTCTTCATTTACATATTGCATTTTAGGGACAAACCCCTGCAGTCGTTATAGTAAGAGTTACTACATTTTGCCTAACCAAATATTTATTTTGACTGAGGAAGTTACTTGGATAAGTAACAAAATGTGTCAGTTTTGATAAACTTTGATCCAGTTGCCATGATTTAGCCTTTTTTAGATGCTTTTTACCTATAGCAAGGGTCTTCAAACTTGGCAACTTTAAGACTTATGGACTTCAGCTCCCAGAATTCCTCAGCCAGCCCCGGCTGGCTGAGGAATTCTGGGAGTTGAAGTCCACAAGTCTTAAAATTGCCAAGTTTGAAGACCCCTGACCTATAGTCATGTTAGTGTCACTTAAAAATGTAAGCTGCTATAAGTAGGGTCATCTTTTGCAAAATTAATGGTGTTCTTCATATAAGCAAAATCAATGGGGAGGGCAGATTCACTTAACAACTATGTTACTAATTTAACAAATTGCAGTGATTCACTTAACAGCATGAGAAGAAAGGTCATAAAATGAGGCAAACATTTGTCTCCTTTAGCAACAAAAACTTTGGGCTCAGTTGTGGTAATAAGTCAAGGACTACTTGTAATAAAAATAAGGTGTTTGATTAGTAATCTACTGTAGGCAGTTTTCTGGCCCTATCAATTTATTTAGCAGCAAAAGTAATTATCACCACAAAAAAGAATAAAGATATTGAAACACATGTAGATAAAAACTGATCATTTTAGAGCTATTATTTCATAACAATTCAGGTAATTAATCAGTATTTTTGGAGCATCCTCTTCTAATTTGTAGTCAATTAAAGTATTCTTTAACAGCAAACAGACACTAAGTTATGCCAACTGAATGTTGAATTTAGCAAAAGGAAATTATTTTCTAGATGCATCGTGGAATCCACTAAGACAGGGATGTCAAACTCAATTTCATTGAGGGCTGCATCAACATTGCAGTTCCCCTCAGGGGGCTGAGTGGGTGTGGATAGGCTGGGTGCGGCCTAGTGGGTGGGCGTGGATGGAGTGGGTGTGGCCAGCTCTACATCATTTGCATCAAGGGTGCCTGTGGGGGCCTGGGCAGGAGTAGGACAGATCTGAGGGTCTCTGGCAGAAGGGGGTGGGACCAGGGCAAGTGCCAAGGCATGGTCCACTGGAGGAGCCTCACTGTTCCTCTCAGGCCATGCGGGGGGGGGGCTGGATGGTGGTGCGGGCTGCCTGGAGCCCTGGGCAGCAGAGGTCAAATGCCCAGCCTGGCCTTTGAGCACCCGCAGCACCAGGCCCAGCCCCACTTCCTCAAGGCTGCTGCTCAAGGTTTTCCTGGTTCCTCACTGTTTCCAGACAGCCTTGTGGAGCTAAGGCTGAATGTGTTTTAGCATAGATGGCCACCACAAAATTGTACATTGGCTCCCGGCTGGCCTGGCCAGGGCCAAGCAGAGGGGGCTGTTCCCTCACTGTTTCCAGGAGGCTTTGCGGGTCACAATGAAACCACTTCGTGGGCCACATCCAGCCCCTGGGCCTTGTGTTTGACATGTCTGCACTAAGAGTACAAAAATGGTTAATAAGACAGTCTGTCAGTCAATCAGTGACTAGAAGGATCTAGCTAAATAAGCAATAAGGATAATCGAGGTAAGGGGCTAATTGGTACATGCCTGTTGGTCAGATCAAACAATAAAACTTTCAGGAGAGAAAAACGAGATGGACAATATTAAAATTTAAGTCAAATATATACCAGCCTGTTGGGTTTGAGTAATGTAAGCAGAATAAAAATAAATTCCATCTCTATTGTAAAGAAGCCAAGCGATTCAGTTTTAATGGACATTTATTGGTTCAATTTAGTAGCTTTGAGTCAATACTATATTTATTTATTGAATATTTCACCAAAAGTGACTCTGAGTGGTGTACAACAAAGCTAAAACATTGAACAAATACATAAAACCATATGTTCGGAGGTTCAGAATTTACATATTAAAAGAAGATACAAACAGGGTCCCTTTCTTAATCCTCTCTTGCTTTTATGATGCAACATTCATAATAGACTCTGATAAAAGAATTGTTATTGGCAGAAGTTTTGCAGAAATCAATCAGATAATCATCTATATATCTTTTTTCTTTCCACAGACTAACCTAGTAATTTAGCCTGTTTTTATTCCATGCACTAGTTTTTAAATTCAAAAGAATGTTCTGTTTGCCATTTAAAAAAAACACTCAAAGCTCTTTATCAAAATAATAAAGATAAAAGGAAGATAAAAGCAGACTTTAAAAAAGAGTTTACAAAGAATAAAAAAAATTAAAAGCATTCCATTAGAAAATGCAAAGGAAAGTGGTTGCAGAGGGAAATAAAAAGATGAATCTTTAAAAGATGCCTGAAAGACATCAGCATTATAGGTATCTAGTGTATCTCAGAGGACGGCTAGTTCCACAAAACAGGAGAACTTTAGATGAAGTTTTTCTCCATGGCATAAATTAATATTAGAAAACAGTATGCAAAACCAGGAACTCCTCTAAAAGTTTCTGAGCTGCTGATGTAAGTAAATAATGAGTAAATTTATTTATTTATTTATTTATTTATTTATGAGACTTATATACCGCTTTAAGTGCAAGCACTCTCTAAGCGGTGTACACCAGTAAGCAATGTATATATATATATATTTACATTGCCCCCAACAATCTGGGTCCTCATTTTACCTACCTCGGAAGGATGGAAGGCTGAGTCAACCTTGAGCCGGTAAGATTTGAACCTCTGACCTGCTGAACACAATCAGCTAAAGTGGCCTGCAGTACTACACTCTAACTGCTGCGCCACCTCGGCTCTAAATAAGGGTTTTAAAGTATAAAGGGGGCACGGTAGCTCACTGGATAAAGATGCTAAGCTTCTCAGCTGGAAATCTGATAGTTTGGGTTTGAGGCTCGAATACGATGCAACAAGAGAAGCTTCTGTTACTTGCCCCAACTCCTACCCACCTAGCAGTTCAAAAGCATGAAAATGTAAGTAGATAAATAGGTACCACTTTCAATCGGAAGGTAACGGTGTTCCATGTGCCTCAGTGTATAGTCATGCTGGCTACATAAACATGGAAAAGTCTTTGGACAACACTGGCACCTCTGGCTAAGAAACAGGGATGAGTACTGCCCTCTAGAGTCAGATACGTCTGGACAGGGGAACCTTTACCTTAAAGTAGGGGTATCAACTGCCAGCCCGTGGGCCGGATGCGTCATCCGGAAGCCGCGCCCACCCCATTGCTAGCAATGGCAAAACTGTCCTGATACGTCTCGTGATGTCACGTGACGTCGTGGGTTTGACATATCTGCCTTAAAGTATAAAATCAGTGTTCGTATCAATCTTTTCATGTTTACTTAGTAAAAGGTTTGTCAACTGAAAATTAGTATACTTTTCTATTTCTCAGATTAACTGGGGGAAAAAAAACCTGAGATAGGACTATTTATTAACCCCCAGATATTTAGAATTTTAGTAATACGGTGTTTTATTTAAAAAAATTCTCATAATATAGAAAATAAACTACAAATGTACTTCTGTTTGGGCAGCCAGTTCAGCTTACGGAGCACATATAACAACCTGTACTGCTGCATTCTGGATACTCTTCTAGGCAACCCCAAGTAGAGCTCATTGCAATAGTCCAATCTGGAGTGACTAGAGCATGAGTGACTATAAGTACAACTGCAATATATGACAAAGCGTGCAAAAGCTGTCCTAGCCATCACTTTTGCCTCCTCACCAAGTAGGAGTTGTGAGTCTAGGAGGACCCCAAGACTGAACACTGTCTGGCTGGGCAGTGTAATCCCATCCAGCACCAAAGATGGCATAGTTTTGAAACCAGAGGCCCCCAAAATCTGGAGCTACTCAATTTTACCAGGGATCAGCTGAAGCTTGTTGTTTCCCAACCAGATCCTCACAGCCTTGAAAGTATATAAGAAATTGATAAGGTAAAGACATTTACTATGAGATCACTTATATTGCAGGGGCAGAAAAAATATTTAATTAAATATATTACACTATATTTAATATATTAATTATATTTGATACCTCACCCCATGGTGACTGATGACTTTACTAGTGACTTATGCAGATATTAAAGAGGAGAAGAAAAGCACCAAATCCTGTGGCACTCCACATAGTAGAGGACAAAGGTAGGACATCTCCTCCCTAATCATCAGTGACCAGAATCAACCCTGCAAGAAGATGATGAGCCAGCATAAAACTGTGCTGCTCACTTCCAATCCTCTGAGCTTATACAGAAGGATACCATGATCCATGGTATTGAAATCCACTGAAAGGTTGGTAGCAAAAGGATAGATGCACTATTCCTATCCTGCCCATGCCAGAGGTCATCCAAAAGCATGACCAATGTGTTTTCATCCTATATCCAGCTCTGAATCCTGATTAAAAAGGATCCAGACAATCTGCTTCTTTCAAGGTTTCCCAAAGCTGTTTTTAAACCACTTTCTCCATCATTTTCCCCAAGGGAGGTGAGATACTGGATTAAAAATGGTTTTGTATGATAGACTTCAGGGATGGTAAACCATCTTGGTTCAGAGGTAAAGGAACATCCACCTTACTAAAAGAATTAACCACTACCAGAACTCACTCACACAACACCCCCAGTCCTCTTTGACAAGCCAGTAGGGGCATGGATCAAAAGAGCAGGTAGCCAAGCTCATGGTATTGAGGAACCTGTCCATTTCTTCAGGTCCCAGAAGTTCAGAACATTCCCAGATAGTTGTGTGAGACTTCTTCCCAAGCATCTTCTTTGGACTTGTGATAAGAGCAGGATCCAAATGGGAATGAATTTGAGGAACGTCTTCCAATAGATGCTGTGCAAATTCCTCCACGCACCCCGCAAATTGGCACATGTCACCTGAAACAAGACTGCGGGGTAGCAAGCTGCAGATGCAAAAATGGTGGAGAGGTACTAACAGTTCAATACCCTTTCCATGCTAATGTAGGCCTTAATAGCAACTCTAACTGATGTTCGGTCAAGTTCGCTTTTTGTTGAACAGCAGTAATGGTCTAGACTCTAGATGTTCCTCTTCCCATTTCATCTTCCTCAATCCATTGGAAACCAGAGGGAGTGATGGGATCCACACAAGAAGAGAGATCAGATAGGTGCAATCCAATCCAAAGGCTTCATTTGCCACCTTGTTCCAAGTGGCAACCAAGGCTTCAGTTGGACCATACAGCAGACCAACAGGGACAACCCATCTCATTTGGAAACCTCTCTGGATCCATCATTCACCAGGGATATACAAATCTAATGGATCCAGTCTCCAGGCAGGAAGATATAAATCAAGGCCTGACCTGTCAATGACAAAGGAATATCTAAGGAAACACAGTAGATACATATTTTCATAGAGATTTAAAGAAAATTTACAACTAAACTGGAACTGAACGCTTTCCTTTCCCTTTTGCCCTATGGCAGGGATGGCGAATCTTTTAGAGACCGAGTGCCCAAACTGCAACCCAAAAGCCACTTATGCATCGTTGGGTGCCGGCTGGGTGTGGCCCATTGGGTTGGCGTGGTTGTGGTGCTAACAGCAGACTGGGTGGGACTAAAAAGTTCAATCAATCAATTCCAACTTTGCAAGATCTTTTTTTCCCCACAAGAAGTTGAAATTGACTGATTGATTGGACCTCTCTTTTTTTGTACATGGCGGCAGAGGCCTAAAGCAAAAAGGTTTTATAAAACCCAGCTGAAGGCCTAGGACTGGGGCGACGGCGTGCGTGCCCACAGAGAGGACTCTGAGTGCCACCTCTGGCACCCGTGCCATAGGTTCGCCATCACTGCCCTATGGGCAGGGATTGCTTTTTCTAAGTAGATACTTTATAAATTAATAACATCCCCTGTAATCATGAAAGACATACTTTCTGCTTAGGTTGCAAATTCTAATGGCAGGATTTTAAAGACCTGCCACCTTCTATAAAGCTGAACTGCTCTGAAATTGAAGTTACCTTGGCAATGTGCAGATATTCTTAGGCCTGAGTGTAAACAACATGAAAGCATTACCAAAGCCTTATTCTTGTAACTGAATTATGGGATTACAATAAGCTGTGAAAAATTCGGAATGAAGGAACCAGGTTTCAAAAGGTTTCTTGCAATTGCCTGAGAGCAAAATTTCTTTAGTTCCACTTCAAATCATCCTTGCATCAAACCTAATTGCATTATACCCCTTTTGCTCAATGCAAAGATCCTCTTTGTGGAATAAACACTTCATTACTAGGTAGGCAGTGGGAAATAATTGAAATATGCTTTTGCTTTCAAAAAGATAACAAAATGACAACATTGGAGAAATGTTGCCACTCACATCTACAATATGGGTGCTTGGTTGGAAACAATCAAGCACTTTGTTTGCTTTCTTATATTTAAAGTGTGATGTGGAACAGGAGCATTTTTTTTTTCAAAAAAACAAAACAAAACAGTCTTCCTATTATTTCAGAGGATGTAATGTTTTGATTCGCTGCTTAGAACTGTAGTCATTCTTAAATCCTTCTGGCCTCATTTTTCATTTTGTTCATTTGAGAAATAGAATTATAACACCACAAGAGAGAAATTAAATAAAGACTTCCTTTCAAGTTCCTAAAATGATATTCTATAAAAATTGAATTAAACATTACTTGGGGAATTGAAGTAGGTGGAAAAACATGACTTGTGTTCTCCCTTTTCTACATTTCAAAGGACTATAATAAGAATGCAGGTCTTAATTAGGATCTGACTTATTAATCACGTTTGTGTTTTAGGGCTTCAGGACAGTTCTCCAGAGGAACACTGTGGCATATGTGAATCTCCATGATCCAATAAGAGGCAAAGGCATTTTATACTCCATAGCATCTCCTTCTGTTCAGCAACTAGCAATTGAAATTACAAAGGTGAGTATATTCTTGTATGATGTTTCTAATATGCAGTACATTTGATATGATAATTCAAATTTAATTGGCATTATATAAGTCTTCAGGACAGGTCCAATGATAAATGATTCATAAATTAGATATTTAAACTGTGGAATGCTATAAATTCCATGGTAAAATCAATATGCCATGATATTAAATAATTGGGTATCATATCCTCAAGTTAATATTTCTTAGAGAAAACAGAAAAGAAAAACTCACTTCTGAAATCTGGACCTTTCAGAAAGGAACAACCCTAATAAGACAACAATTTTCTTTTTCGATTTAGGGCAGGGGTCTTCAAACTCGGCCCTTTTATGTCTCATGGACTTCAACTCCCAGAATTCCTCAGCCAGCATACTTGTCTGAGGAATTCTGGGAGTTGAAGTCCATGAGACATAAAAGGGCCGAGTTTGAAGACCCCTGATTTAGGGCAACAGGGAATTGCATAAGAAATAAAAGAGGGAAAAAATTCTTCTGTGTAATACCAATGAGAAGTGGAAATGGTGATGCCATCAGGGTTGTTGTATCTGTTCTGTTCTCTGTGTTGGTAAGGCATTGAGAGGAGGCAGGTGTAACAACAGTTACTAGTTTATTTAAGCTTCAACAGAACCAACACAAAATGGCACGGATCTCTTTTATACCTTTTGCAGGGAACAGCGTCAGCCAATAAATGCAATGTATTTTCCCGCTTTGTGCGTGCGCAATAGGCTGGAGACAGCCTGTCTGGCCCGGGGAGCCACATGGTCTGCCCGGGTCTCTCTGCAGCTTCCTGCACCTGCTCTGTCAATCACAGGCCCAGGACATAACAGTATCCATCCATCATTTTTCTTTCTAAAATACAATGAAAAAAGACCTCAATAGAAGCAATTGCAAAATAACAATATGGGAACCATGCTGGATTCCTATAAAAAAAAAGTTTCTGCTCAACTATATTAATAGAAAAAGCAGTAATCTATACCAAATTATATTGTTTGTTGGGGATGATAGAAAAATGTATTATTTGGAACTTAATAAAATAGGGGATAAGGTGGATTGTCCTTCATTTCTCACAAAGCTTATAGGGGAGGACACATTTGTAAGAATGCCTGTACAAACATAGTAAATTGCCTGATAGGAGTTCCGGTTATTTAATCTTGTACTGTCCTCTAGTCTACCCAGGCTGGTAATCTCAGTCAATTTTCTATTTTTTAAAGTATTGTTCCCAACCATGGCCACTTCCGGACATGGGAACTTCAAATCCCAGAATTTCCCAGCCACCATGGCCATTGGACAGAATTCTGGGAGCTGAAGTCCACAAACCTGGACCTGCATCTTTCTCCATGTTCCATTATATTGATATTTGAAGACATTTATTTTCCAACAGGTTATTTCCATTTACAGTGTAATATTTAAAAAAAAATATTGGTTCTCTTCTCTCCTCTCCTCTCCTCTCCTCTCCTTTCTTTACTTTTTGTGGATTTGACTGGTGACTGCCTGAACTAGTCACCTCAGTTTTCTTGGCAAGATTTCAGTAGTTGTTTGCTACTGCCTTTCTCCTTGGTTGAGGAAAAAAAAAAAAAAAACTACCCTGGGTCATTTGGCTGACTTTGTGGCTAATACAGGACTAGAATTCCTGGTCTCCCCATATTTAAATGTTAGCTGTATTCCTTTTTTAAAAGGAAAATCATAAAACTCCAAAAAAAAAAATCATTAAAAATAAGCTGTAAGTAAATACAGGGTAATAAAATCATAAATCTGTAACAATATTAGCACTGTATCTCTTGTTACTTAATGGAAGGTTTAATAAGATATGTCAAACAACTAGAGAACTCAGATAAATATCTACCTATGTCCTGTTTCTGTTAACTGAGTTCCTTTATAATTATTTTTTTTTTCAGCTTTGTTTTAAACATTTCTATTTGGAGGATGTCTGAAGCCTAGAGCACTCTTGTACTCTAGCTACTAGCACTATCTATAAAAAGAAATAAAATAGGACATTTACAGTAATCATCTGAAATAAACACTTGACTATTCTCAAAAACCAAGTTATTGCATATCCTTCATGTAATCTTCATTTCTTTAATTAGTTACAACTAATATTGTGTCTTGGCATAGAAACAATTTAGAAGTTCTTTTTTTCTGGGCTTGCTAGAGGATTCTGACTGAAACCTTGAATAAACAAAGAAAGCAGATTTAAATATTTAGGTTGTAAAGCCAAATTGTAATTCAAACATTCTGAGATCTTTGTGAGCATGTGTGAACTCTGTTCAGCCATGCTAATTACAGCCCATTTTATGGGAGGGAGATTCTGCCAAGTTGTATTTCTGTGTCTGAGTGTTCTGTAAATGAAGGTGCCATTGTCAGCTTGCTGCATTAATGAATCACCATTTATTTGGCATCTTATAATGGAAAAGTTTATGTTGGCTGGGGAGGAAATTAAATCCACTAAATAAGACCATTAATTCATTAGTCTCAAATTTACATTTCAGAAGCACAAAAGTTACTCTGACTGAGCCATTAATTTATATGCCAGTAGGGTTGGCTTTGGTAAAGCAAAAACAAGAAAGAATCTTAGGGAACTTTGACATCTTACTAATATATTGAAAAATAAACTTTGAAACAAACATTCAAGATCCACAGTTAAAAAAAGAAAAGTTACTTTTTCCATTCCATAAAACAAATGCTGCAGAGCTAGCCCGTAGGCTCTAGGCCAACTTATCTCAGCCAATTCACCATGGCCAACTTGCCACAGGACAACTAAATATGGGGCAAGAGTCACGCTAATATTGAAGAAATGGGAGAATAGAATCATTAAAGAAAAGATGCCATAGAAAGGACAAAATGAAATGTGAAAGACAAAAATTAAAATATTTTTAAATTATTTTAAATAATTAAATCGAACTGTTGAATGGTCCCATGGTGAGTTGGCCACAATGAGTTATCCCATTCCAAGCCCATCTGGTATGTAATATTTCCTTTCAGCTACAGTGACCTTTATCTACCTGCACAAAAAATACAAGAGCTTTTAGTGTGTTCTGTACAGCTTTCATAAATGAAATCTCCAAATAACGTAACAGATTTTGTTTTATGCCAGATCATATGCACTGAGCTAATCTTGACAGGGGTTTCTGGGCACATGTGTAAGTGATCTGTGTTACTTCCTACTGGTAGTCTCAGTGCTTGATATTTTTCATAAATGATTGTGCTAATTAAAGCTGTGGCAATTAGATCTGGAAATATGTGTTTAAGGAATGCACAAAAACTGTAACATGTAGATATGAACCTCATTTACCATATCCTTGTCACAATTCATGATGAGTCTTCAGTGTAGATTTGAATCCAAGTATATAAACTCAGAAATAGGAGTATGATTTGTATTAGTATGTACAACATAAACAAGGTGAAAACATCCATTTATTTGCTTGTTTGTTTGTGATTATATATATATATATATATATATATATATATATATATATATATATTCACAAACAAAGAAGCAAATATATATATATATATATATATTGCTAATAACTATAAAAATACAAATCCTAGGCTTATCTGTACAATGATAGAAAATCCTTGAACTCTGGAAATAATATAAATCAGCTGTTTATTGTTAAAAAACTAAAACAATAAAAACAACTGTTTACAATACTAAAAACAACCTAAGCTTTCGCTGGTCCACTGCCAGCGTCATCAGACTGAGTGTCTGGGGCGTGGGCAGTTTTCTTATAAACCTTGCTAACTCAGTTTCTTGCCCATTGACTGTGTGATAGGGCTGTCCATCCTAATTGACCATAATTGCCTCAGTTGTCCCACCCCCCTCGTTTGCATTTTCCAATTTCACAGCCTTCTTTCTTCCCATTGTTTCTTTTTCCATCCTTCCCATCCTTGTCAATCCCATCTTTCCTAATGTTGTTGCTGTTGGTGTATTTTCTGGCTCCCCCCCCCCGGCATTGTAGGTGCCTTTCCATTGCTGCTCCCCCCTGCTTTTCCCATTTATCCACCTGCTAGCCATTTTTGTAACAACAAAACAATCTAAGCTATGAAACCCAAAATCAAAGTTTTATTTTTTTCCACCTCAAGCACAAAGTCCAGAAGCAGTCTCTATGTAGAAGCAAAGGTACTTGTATTCTTTGCTTTGATCAAAACAGTCAATTTAACCATCTCTGCCATCTCCATCAGCTTTTGTAGCCACTCTTTCCCAATATATTGTCTGTCTCTGCAGTCCTAACAGGATACACTCAACAGAATGATACCCTAGTAACTGGGGATGAAGTAGTTTTTAATCATGTGAGAACATTTTTTCCTTAAATTCAAACCAAGAAAATATCCAAACAATGAGTGAGATGAGTGGCAACTAATTTCGTAACAGTTCACTGAAACTGCAATTCACAATCAATGGTAAGTTAGGCTGCAATAATCATAATTAGAACAATATAAAAAATTTCTTTATTTTCTCTACCGACAATCTCTGGATTCTACAATTTGAATCAGTAACTAATTAAATCCTGGGAAGAATTTGAATTTATTTGACCAAGCTCTTGTGCTCATGAAAACCTTATACAGATAGTCATCACTTAATGATGGTAATTGGGACCAGACGTTCCATCACTAAACAACCTGGTTGTAAATTGTCGTGTATGTGACTATGCCACTTATTCACAGAAATTCCATCAGTTCTGATTGCCTTATTAATTGAACATCATATGTCGTTATACAAGGACATTGTGTGCCTCTCTGAAATTGCTTGTAGGAAGCCTGCAAAGATAGTAACAAATGATGATTGCGATGCTGCTGCCATCTAGATGTTTTTTTTTACAAACACACATACACACATTATTTCACTCCTTAATGCCACTGTGCTATTTCCACTCTCATCTGAAAAATCAAAACTAATAATCTATGTGCCAGAGCAATTTATTTGATATTGCTATTTATTTTTAAAAATTCATTCCATTGCTTAGAAAAGACTGTATTTTAACAGGTTTTTCCTATAT